CCATATTGAAGAATTAATTAAAAGTCCAAAACGTCAAAGAAACTCTTGAAAGCACGTTTGAACTTTCCCTTTAGGCACTGTCCCGGGAAATTAATCGGAACATACGTTGCGGTCAGAATTTTTAACTATCCGCGCAAACCACCAATATGCGGTTGCCGATAATCGATTAAGGGCGATTTATCTGATTCAACGGACGTACCTATTATTAAACAAACTAGAAACTGTCCCAATCCCAGTGTTAATTTCGCAAGGACATTAAAAAAGAATCATGGTTAAGCAAAATTTGGTGAGTGACATGTATGTGATCACATTAATCTGATGAGAGAATCGTAAAACTTTTCCGTATATACATAATAATTTTATCATATTATATGTGATTTCAATAATTAATGAAGTATTCTGTGCTCTCTCGATATAAAATCCCGTTGCGTTAAATTATGGTATATTAAAGATTTCATCATATTTATTTATGTTTTCGTAAAAACTATTTTTGATATTTTTATTATATAATAAATACATATATAATTATATATTTTTATTGTATATAATTATATAAACGTATATTCATTACGTAATATATAAAATAAATATTTTTTTATAAAAGAAATTAATGCTCTTTGACATATGTAATAAATGATAAAATGTTACATAATATAAGTTTATTTTATAATTTAGAAGCATTCAATGACAGCTTGTTTCATAGCGTTGGTATATCATTTAAAGCTAATTATAATAAATACTGTAATTCAAGCTGACTGTGTATTATCGATTATGAGAATTAATGTACCATGTTATTAAAGGCAGTAATCTTAATTATCAACTTTCCCTAATCATCCCGCTTTTCATCCTTAATTCGCCTCTTGTGCTCTCCGTAATTGCCACGATTGTTCTCTCCAAACATTTCAGAAGCTTTAACGGTTTACATAATTCGCATAATGAATTTACTCCGCACGTGCCGAACGGTATACGATGTTAAGCGAATTCACGTTCGATGTGCTAACAGTACTCGTTCATTATATCTCTAATAATTCGTGCGTCTTATACACATCGCGCTGAATCTATTTCACAGCTCATCATTTCCATAACGTCTCTGATTTCGCACGCATCCCTGAAATTATTTATCTTTGTTATAACTTGCAAGGCTTAACTCGAATTTGACAGCACTTTCAAATTAAAAAAGAAAAAAGGAAAAGAAGAGAGAAAAATTTTCCACGCTGAAAAAATGATTTTTGCCGAAAAGAGATCGCAACCCCCTCCCCTCTCTCGCACCCTCGCCCTTTTTCTTTTATTACGATCTCCTCCACCTTAGTCCTGGATTATCGCACGACAGATTATATAGCTAACTTGATTCATCAAAGTATCGAAAGTCCGGACTTTCTCAGAAACGTTACTTCCCTCGTTAGCCACGTCGACGAGTGCAGACAGCTGGGACACGAAGCTTATTCTTTCTCTTCCTCTTCGTCTTCTATCTTTTGGTCTTCGTTGCTTATTTCTATCTCGTCTGTTCACGGTGAGCTAAACGCGTCCGTTAGAAACATCGTTTCATCTTGTTTCTTTCTCGTTTTCAACCCACGCCGACGTGTGTGTGTGTGTGTGTGTGTGTGTGTGTGTCAACCGGCGCGATTTTTTTCATCTCCTTTTTCTCCCATCCATTTTCTGTATCCTTCACAGTTTTCTCTTCTTCCTCTTCTTCCCCCTCATCCTATATTCTCAGATCAAATGGAAACTCGAGAACGATCAGTGAACTCAAACAAAGTTGCGATCGGAAAGTAGAATCGATCGATCGTGGGATTCCGATGGGAAATTATCGTCAGGAAATTGGTGGAATTGAGACGATGCCGCGATGGAAGAATAGAGTTAAATCTGGGATACTACCATGGGGGTGCTACTGAAAGAAGCGTCAGAAACGTATCGCTTGAACGAATCTGATCACTTTAAACCCTGATTATGAATGCCCTGAGGATTCCTGTGAAAACGAATCGCTTCTAAATTCGTCGAACGTTCGATTACATAAGACTATATGCAGTACGTACACGTCTAAAACGTAAATCACTTTCTCTCGGATTTGATGCCGTTAGACCGTAAATTAATCATGTGACGATCATGCTCGCTCATTCGACTCGAGCTCTTTTTCGCGACACGGTATCCTTCTCTTTTTCTCGTAATCCCATTTTCTCTTTCATCAACGGTGGCACTTCCTCTAATGGCGTCCCGAAAAAAAAGATTCTCGATTATTGTGATAAACTGCGTTAAATATAAATTACACGACAAGAAATTTTATTCCTTGAATCCAGCTTTATGAAACTGCTGAGCTTCAAACATCTAGCAAATTGAGGACAATATTTATTATTATATTATTACATTCAATAAACAAGCTCTTAGATTAGAATGATCGACAAATTGTTAGTTAGAAAAAAAATAATATTAATTTTTATGAAAAAATGTAAAATATAAGATAAAACTTTTCGATAAAATCTATTTTTTTTTTACAAAAATAACAAGCGGCAATAAAAGTTTTTAAAACGTCAAAACAAATTTTGAAAAAAAATTGGGACATCTTTTCGATTATCACACACACACACATTCTCTAGAACAATTTTAGAATTCAATTAGATACATTTAAAATCAATTTGATTTGAGGAAATTTCTGTCTTTAAATAATGTTCCTATAAATCAAAATTTATTTTAGCTCCAATTTCTTTACTAAATACAATAATACTAAATACATAATACGAAGTTTTCCTTTCGTTCTTTTTGATTATAGTTCGATCTGATGCGCGATGTTCTGCTTTCTAATGACATCGGTAGCGATTTTTCCATCGTATTGTTTTAGGAAGGCTCGCGCGCGATCGCTGACGAATCTAACGCCGATAAGAAAGCTATGACTGACGTCTTCATTGTTCAGTTGAAAATCCGCTGCGGACAATGAGAGGCTATTCGTAGCCGAGGCAACGAGCAGAACAATACTTGTCGGCACAAATATTGCTCGTGCATCGCTGCTACTTTACGTTGGTTTCTTACAATGAAGTTCAGCAAGACTGAATGCATTATAATCTTTATTTAACTTTATAAAGTTCAAATCGAGTAAAAAATATATAAAAAGCGAATTGTATTATAAATGCAAAATGAATTATTTTTGGCGTATATTAAAAGAGCAAACAGACATTCACAATTAAATTATTTGATAAAGTATAAAAAGTTATTTGAAAATAAATTTTATTTTAATGTATTATTTATTATCCTTATTTTATTCATATTTCAATTTTCAAAAGCTATAAATAAGTAATGTTAGATAAATTTATTTCAATTAAATTAATTAAATCTAATTTTTTACTGAATTGTATTTGAATTTTATTTAAAAAAATCGATTATACCATTAATTTAAAATCAATTTTAAATTTGTTCTAGAATTCTGTATGAACAATATAAAATTATATTATTATATAGATATAATATATATAATCTTGATTACACATAAATATAATGCACTCTTAATTTATTGCATCTTTTAGAAAAGGCGGTAATAAAAGTAAAAAAAAGACTTAAAATTGTTTCAAAATAAATATTATTTTTCAATAAAACTGTTTATTTTTTGTTAAATAGAACATTATTAAGTCAATTTATGAGGACGCTATATATTTATAGTTAAGACTGTAACACACAAACATTTAATAAAAAGTTATAAAATATATCGTATATCTCCCTTTATACGTAAACATACAAAAATATGTGACTTTCACGTGAAATTCGTGAAATTGTTTTATTTTATTGCGCACATCATATGTCACTCTATTTCTAGATTTGCGAGCTGTTCGTATTTGTACGCGATCCAATAATTGCGCCATGTCGATTGAGCGTTTTGTAATTTCGAATGCACAATTTCTTCGAAAGAACAAATCGAAACGACGTGACGAAATTACAACGTTAAAATTCGTTCGCCTGTTTCGTTCGAACGCTTGCTGCGAGTACTCTCTATGTCTGATTAATAATCGCACTGTATACGGATATTGTTGAATTATTGATTTTATTATTAAACGATATCTCTATCTCTGTCTTTCTCTCTCTTGTCTGTAGCTACAATGACGAATCGTTTGATCAACAATTTGAACAACATATTGCTTCGTAATGTACGAAGAATCACAACGGAACGTCGCTCATTGCGATCTACTTTAATTAAGATAATGTATTTTTGCAATTTTAAAAGTTCAGCGTTAGATAACACATACAGTAATGTAAAATTAAATATTACAATGCAAGTGGTAAAAACGAAATTACAGCATCCTTGTGAATAAACTTTTAGACAAGCTACTACAAAGTAAATTATATGGTTTACACATCAAGTGATGATTACATCAAAGTGAACCGTGAATTTTAATTAAATTGCGCGCGCGCGCTCGCTTGATGCGAAACTTGCTATTCGCGCAAGAATATGCGACGGTTTGGAAGGTGCATGTCGGAGACTTGATTGCTATCATGGAAGAGTGTGACTTTGACGACACCATAGATACGGACTCCTTGGAGTTCGAGGTAAACATGGCATACATAGTTTTATGAAAACCGCAATCTAGCTGTAAAATAATAATCTAATAATAATCTGTCTATCCAATTAGCAGACGTGTTTTTAAAATATATTTTTAATATAAAAACACATTTTTGGTTAAATAAATATTAAAAATATTGAAAATATATTTTAAAAACATTGTCTGCTGATTGGTAGCGATCACAACACTTTCTCTATTTGCCAAAAATAAATTTGGCTTACTTGCGAAACGAAATCTTATGATGTAATAAAATTGTTTTAATGGTGCGTTACATATTTCTTAATCAAGTTATATCAAGGATTTCTTTTAATAAAAATCGAAAAGGTACTTTTCAGATACTTTTATTTATTGGTATTAACGTATGTTTATAGTATTATTTATTTTATTTATTTTTTATTATTTGCATCGCATTATATATTATAATATTAACATATCACATTCTCTTTCGCGATTTTACAGGCTACGCAGTCGTCGACATGCCCCAAAAAATTGGACTTGAGCAAGGCAGGCCTTTCAAGGGTTCCCGACAGCACGATTGCTTTTCCAGCAATAGAAGAGCTCGCATTAGGATGCAACCAATTCACTAACGTTGATAACAATCTGAAGCTTCTGCACAGGTATACTTTCTTCTGCATCTACATTAAATCGCTTCAATATGGAATAATACAAAACTTTCTTCTATTCATTTTTCATCACTTTTGATTTTCTCTGATTATTGTACGATAAAAAAAAAAGCTAAGCGGTAAACCTTTGATTTCAATGAAATTAACGAGATAAAGAAGATAAAAAAGAAGAAAAAGAAAAATTAAATTTTTGCAAAATATCAAGTAATTAGAACACGGATAGATTAATTTGCCCTTCTTCGATAAGAGCAAAGAAAAGCGTGTGAGTGTCCGATAGCACAAACGCGGCGAAACTGCAAGTAAACTTTAATTGGTAGTTAATTCGTACGTAACTCTTCATTCCTTCCCGTGTAGGTTTCCCAAACTTCATGCCGTCCATCTGGAGAACAACAATCTCCACAGAATCCCAAGGGAATTGCTGGAGCTGCCAGCGCTGACCTATCTTAATCTCTCGGATAACAAGATCGAGACAATTCCGGTTGACATCTGCCGACTGATCAAGTACGTATAATTTCATAATTTATTATTATTTATCTACCTGTTTATGAGATTAGATTAATAATCCCCTTTTAAACAGAAGAGATCTTCTCGCCTGTTTATTCCTCACTATTAGAAGAGATTGATTTTTATCAGAGCGTAGCAATTATCTTTAAAATCTTTTTATCAATATTATATCACTTATTTCCTGTTTAAATAGACTTTAATTAAAGAACTGTGATAGATCGTGCTTTTCATGTCTTCAAATGTTTTATAATAAAAAGACATACTCCATAATCGAACTTCTGAAAAATTCCAATTTTTTAAAAATTATTTTTTTTTTAATTATTTATTCTTTAGCGATCACTGCAACGGCATATCTATTTTATAAATCGATATAGCAGGTTGTATGCATTAATGTGTACGCGGCTAAATTTTCCCTCCATACCATTTGATTTATGCGCGTCAATCTAGGAGTACAATTGATTACCAACACATTAATCATGCGGGCTATTGTCGATCAGCTGATAACAGGCTCGTGTGGAAAATTACGCGTGATAATAATCAAATAAATGCTGTTAATTGTCTGATTTTCTGAAAAACGACGACTATTGATGTTAAAAATCAAGGAACATATATAATATCGATTACAAAAAATTATATAATACATCAAAATGATTTTAGTCTTTTTTATTCCGAAATGAGCTGCGTTTTGAGAAGTTAAAACATTGTAAATAATTTAAAATGATAAGAAAGCAAATTATATGAGAATTTTTCATTTCTTGATTTGATAAATAATTTTTTATTTATAATTTTTTTTTAATTCTATAATAATTTTTAGTGAAAAGATGGTGTGTTATACTACTTGTCAAAATACAATATATAGATTTCTTTGGAATTGAATTCTAAATGTATTCATACGTATTAGTATATTATTTTTACCAAACAAAAATCTTATTGTTATCTAAGCAAAAATAAAAACAATGAAACACAGTTATAAATAGTTATAATAAAAAAATAATAATAAATATAATTATATGACGGAATACAATTTTCTTCTTTGTAATTGATTCTTATATTTTAAAATATTTTTGAGTTTGAGACATTATTATTAAGTTCAAGACATTATAAAGATCACGCGAAACGATAAGCTACTTTTTATCACCGCGCAACTTTAGACAACGCAAAAAATCTGATCTTACGAGAAAGGGAGGGGCGGGGGAGGAATACAATTGAGACGGAGATTACGTAAAGTTTCTTGAAAACCGCTTTCCACCGACCGGAAATGAGAATGCCGGAGGGAGGAACTACGGGGTGTGAACACGACGACGTCGCTGCACGCGCGTACATACGCATGAAAGGTAAAAGTGCTCCTTGCATAGGTTCGCCATTGGTGAACTCGTAAGCGAATTTACGAAATTTAGTACATCTTGACGATCGTCACATAGGTGACGACCACCCTGTTTCTCTTCCACTAATTCTATGGTGATTATTTAGATAAATCTTTCATTTAATCGTCATTAGAAGTGATTCTTAGTTAACATAGCTTTAACGCATCTCTGACTCCTTTTTTAAAATCTAAACAAAAGATTTATACGATGTCTATTAATAAATATATCTGATGTCTAAAACGATATTCTTTATCTAAATAAAATATTATTTTCCTAATAGGGAATATTTTACCGCCAAGCATTTTTAAATTTATTTGTAAACAGAGAAAACTAACTATTTTTGAGCAAACAAATTAGCAAGCTGCGTCTAATTTTTCATATTTCTATATTTAATTAAATCCAGATTTACTTTCTAAATTATAATTAAAAGATATTTCCATTTTGAAATGTAATAATTTTATACGTATTAATTTATTTTTAAATACTCCAAGTTCTGCGTGGAAATTTTAATTAATGTAATAATACTATCGGAAATTACGAAGACGAATATTATATAAAATTTTATTCTTATTTTTCTCGAAACGGGTCTTCACGCGCCGATGCTTTCGATTATGAATCACAGAGGCGTAACGTAATATTTCTGGAAACTTACGCTCATTTATAAGGACCTTCCGAGATCTAATTGCCCGGGATGAAGCACTCACCAAGTCCAACATAAGTTTCATAGACATTCACCTTTTCTTGGCTCGCGTGCGCCGGTTTCCACCTGAGTCTCGCCGTCTCGCGCCACTGCCTCAATGTACGACTCTTGGTGTTGCCTAACCCCGTTCTATTGCAGGAAGAGACGGCACTTTAAGGCAATTTTGCATGATTCACTTTCGACGATCACGTCAAACGAAGCGCCCAAAACGAAGGAAAACCGAATCTGAATTTAAGATTACACGACTCGCGCGATAACACGGATGCTTCCGTCGTTCCGGCTACAGTTGACCCAGATATAAGAACAAAGGATTTCCAAAGATAAAATATCTTACATTGAGGATCATAAAGATTTAAATCTTTATAGGTTTCTGGTATAATTAAATTCGCTTTTCAAATTTAAACACATTCGGTGATAACGCAGTTAACTCGATCTTTTGTATTATTAAAACCATTATTCATATCGTAATAATGATATTATCTCGGCTTTGGAACAATTTGAGTGTCCATAATAATTCTGTATAATTAAACGTACTAAATATTTCTGAAATTACCTATATTGTGTCAGCAAATAACATTCAGATACAATTCGGGTAGAGTTTTGACGGAGATGCGTATGTATTGGTGTGGCTTCAAACAGCATAATTTGGCGACGTTATTCATATGGAATCAAGGTATCATATGTAACAAGGATTTCACTGGCTTACCAGCCATCGCTGGTGCATGTCCGGTCTAAGCCACGGCGCATTATCGCTCGGTCCCGCTTCGTACACCGGCAGACAATTTCTGTTCTGTTACATCAGAGTGGTCAGCCAACCCATCCTCGGTTTTGCCTCCCTCTTCTTCCTTCGCCACAAGACGATATCCTCAAGAGGAATAAGTTCGCCTTTCAACCGACCTCTTTAGTCCTCGAAAGAGCCGCCGCGAGTGTGTATCTCCGGACACGAAAATCGCGCCACGAAAAGCCGTAGAGATCGCTTCCGAGTCGCCGCCGGAAATTCTGTGGTCGAAGAGATATGGCGAAACTTTTTTGATCCATGATCTGGGACAATCGTGATTGTCTCTGTCCTTAAAGTTTGAATGTGACCGTGGGAGCAACGTTTCAAAAATCGAATTATTATTGTGTTGTAAAAAATTGTTCAATCTGCGAAAATTTAGATCTCGCTACGCAATATACATTTACAGATCCAACGGTGAAAGTTTTTTCATGTGTGGTGTACGATTTGCAATTCGCAAAATTTGTCTCATAAAGTGAGAATGTTGCTCACAGAAAGGGTGTACTATTGTTTACGATGAGCCAGAATGTCCATCCAGCACTTCGCAACATTCGGAAAGAATGCAATATTGGGAAAAAAATCGTCGATACAAGGGATTTTTAACATTTATAGAGTATAGCGTTACGCTTTTATATAACAATGTTTTTATTCGATACAAACAACCCTATATCATAAAATACAGCAATTAATATGATAAAATGAACATGCCAGATATTTATGATTTTAATATTTAAATATTTCTTTATGCGTGTAAAATACATAATTAAAACAGCAATAAAAAAATAAAATTCATAAAAATGAAATCTTTAAACTACGTATAAAATATTCTTCAAACAACATTGTTTGATGATAACAATCGTATCTACTGAGCGTACTGAAGAAAGTACTTCGGTATTTGAACGCTGCTCCGCTTTTAAACGAACGTATGCGCAGCAACATTAAAAAGCAAAAAGTACCAAATCAGGTAAGAAACAATAAGTCTGTTTTTTATTGCTACACTCTGAATTGGTATAAGTTGAAGTAAAACAAACATATATTGTGCGTACCAGTTCAGAAAGTACAGCAATAAAAACAGATCTAATGCACGTTCTAAAATAAAATGGCAAGAGCTTCGTACAGCAAACTCTTTTAACGATAGTAAGATATTTATTTACGATCTGTTACAAGCAAGGTTATAATATATATTTGTTTACGTCATATTTTTTTAACAATCTATAATTATTTTCCCTGTGTCTGCAATTATTTCTAATATTATATTGGCAATGTACTTATAGAAATATTGAAAGTTGAAATCGTGAATATATTCGTATTGGTTTTTTCGAAATATTTGTTAGTTTGTTACTCTCATTTTGTTTTCTTTTTCTTGAGTGACTAAAGATACGATGTTTTAAAATGTTATTCTAAAACTTTTTTAATTAAAAATGAAGTTCTTAAATTTTTAATAGTTTATATAAAACAATGTAAAAATTATCTTAATATCTTCAAGGATTTTCTTTTAATGCGTTTTTTAAAGGATCAATCATAAACTAACAACAAAAAAAGAGAAACTTGCGAAAAAAATTTTAACGCACATTATACGTAACTACTAACAACAAAATAAGAATTTCAAGTTTTTCAAATTAAAAGTATTTATTGATAAGAATCCGCGATTTATACTTTAATGGCAAAAATCGAAAGTCTACCTGATGACACAGATGTTTACTGCAATGGGGGGAAGGTTTTCACTATAATTCGAAACTTTCTACTCAAGTGCACATCCTGTGGGCGGCTCGCGCTCGTTTAGGTTCACCGATTCGCGTGTCCGAAGCTTCGAGATACAATTCACAGTAGCTAAAAACAGCACTGTTACTAGGTCTGCAAAAACTATAATTTACGAATAAACTCTTCCAGATTCTTCCTCTATTAATTAATACTTTAAGAAAAAATAACGAAAATTTAAAATAATGTTGCAAACTTCTATCCTGTAAATGATAAACAAGATTCTCTAATTTTACATTATATTTAGTATAATGAAATTTTTATATTTTTATATTTTTATCTTATTCAATCATTTATATGTATTTTTATACTAGATAGATTTATATAGTATCGAAATATTATAAAAATATTATAAATATTTTATACAGTATCAAAAATGGAAATTTTTAATTATACGAACAAAACAAAGAAATTTATTTAAATATGAAAAAAACATAATAAAGGTTATCCACAATGAAAGTATGATATAATAAATTTTAAGCCATTGACCAAAGAAATTGAAAAAACACAATCGAATGTAAGGAGAATAATTTGTTTATAATTTGTTAATTTCTTTGAACTTACTGCTTACTACGCAATATTACTTCTATTGTAGACGATCTATAAATAAAACACATATTAATTCAAAGTCAATTTGAACTCTTCGTTTTTTAAATGTTAATTAAGAATTGTGTTAATACACACTATCAATATTTTTAAAGCTAGTTAATTTATTCTCGATGCAATCTTTGTTTATTAAATATAACATCTTTATCATCACGTTGCAGTTTGAAAGAACTGATCCTTGACCGCAATGGCATCAAGGATCTACCGGATGAAGTGACACGGCTGAGAAATTTGAGGAATATTTCCCTCGTCGGAAATTTACTCAATACCGTACCATCTTTTGTCAACATGCGAGCTCTCACTTTGACAGTAAGTTAAACTTTTATCATGTATAATATAATAGATAATAATAAATGATTTAGTTAAAAAATCCTTCTTATCAAAATTGATAAGAATCGTATTTAGAAAATGAGAAATTAATAAGTTACTTATAACAAAATTCAATAAATAATTCTATTTAGACTAATTTTATGTAATACATAAAGAAATATGTTTTTAAATTTAGAAAAAACTGTGTACAATATATAAGGATGTATTAAATACATAAAAAAATTAGGAATACGTTATAAGTATCTGTAACGTTAGATTACGATGACAATGATAAAGTATGGAAACTACGACACTTCTACAGTAATATTGCATGTGTGAATCTTAAATGGCTTTTATTGATTCTCTTTATTCGACCTTGACCCTTGTAGTTTAGCTTAACTATTCGCACGTGTCTGATACATTGACATTTTGTTACCCTATCCCTGTTATTGATTATACATGTTATGACAAAAATATTCGCTTGTATTGTATATTGCACTGGTTTTAAATAAATATCCTTAAGAAATTTTTAATAAATCATTATAACGTTGTTTAACTTTTTCTTATATGGAAGGATATTATTATTAATAATTAAATTTAATTTCTTAAAAATTTAAAAGACTTGTAAAATTTAAAGGATATTGATTTTTCTTATATGTATAAAAAAACTAATAATGTTATTACACGAAGAAACGTTCTCTCTGAAAAGTTCTACGTAATGATACATTTCTCTTAAAGATACATAAGATTTTATTAAACAAGAATATAACATTTCGTCACATTAAATTAGAAATCTTATATATATATATATGTAAGGACAGTTGAGAATTAGCACAATCATTTTATTAGTCTTAACAATTAATTGTAAGATATTTATTAAATTGAAATGTTTAATATTCTTATGACTTATAAAAAATGAGTTCAATTCATAACTTTGGTTTCCCTTCGATGCACTCTATAAATCTCTTTCACTTTTCACCAAAAATTTCGTAAAAGAGAACTGTTTGACGAGTCTATAAATCTTTGAATTTGACAATGGGTAAAAAAACAATTCAAATTTTTGAATTTTTTAAGAAAACAATAATTTTCTTACAAAGAATTTATTTGTTATAAATAAAAAAAATCGATTTTTTATTTAAACAAAGTATTTCGTAGATAATGATAAGAGTGATTTAATTTAAGATGTCCGAAAAAGTTTTTATGTAATTTATAAACAAACATACAAATATTTTTAATATTATATTAGGTGTTGGAATTAATTCGTAGCGTTTTACAAGTGATGGGAAGTACTTTCATTAATGTATTTTTTAATGCTCATGTGAAATAAATAACATTCTTTCATTAAAAAACGCTACGAATTAATTCCAACACCTAATACTAAAATATTTTTATACACATATACGTAAGAATGTACAATATATGCATGTCTGATTAATAATACATATAGGAAAAATACTTGGTATATAAAATTTATTATTCAAAGATTATTTTTATATATTCTATATTCGTGTTGTCTGATATGCAAAAAATTTAACACTTAATTTTTAGCATTAAATGATGCTATTACTATACTCCTAATAATATAAATAACATATTCTAATAATGTAAATTATAACATTAGCTCATTTTCTAGAGATTTGTAGTTTTTTTCCTTTAGTTCCACAATTCACAACTAACTCTTAATCGAGATGCAACTTATTACTCCATCTTTTTTTTTAGAAAAAAATTGAAAAGAGACAAGAATAGAGGCCGCAATCCGATTCACTCTCAAAATCGTTTTATCTTTGTTGTTTAATTGTCAAATGTTAAATATAAGGACAAATGATACTTATGAGTGATGAGCGGCGTTGTGAGGAACATGAATCGGACCACAGTTTAAGTTCAATCTCGATTAAGTTACCGTGCATCATAAGACTTGAAAAAACAACTTAATTTTAAATTAATTTATGACTCAGCTTTCGCCGAGTACACCAAAAAATTGTTATAGACTCATCAAATGTTCCCCTCCACGGAAATCTTTAGTAAAAGGCGAAAGATTTATACGTGTTCTGAAGGGAAACCAGAGTAACGAAGTAGTGCTATAACGATCCTTATATAGGCAGACAGATCAAATTTTACTTACAAGAGACACTCCATCTTGAAGGCCCTCTCTTGATCAGATTTGGAACTAATAGCGTCCAATCTCCCTTAACTTTAGAAAAGGGTATGCATACCTGGATTCGGCATACCTGACCTATCTTAGAGCGTTTTTCAGGAAGGATACAGTGAATTATTACATCTTTGTTTGTCAATTAAATAAAGATGAAATTATTCAGGAATTGCTTACACTTTCATAAAAATAAATCTAGTTTACAAAAAATATTTTTAGATTACTTACAACTTTTGTAAAAATGAACATATTGAAACAATCTTTTTTTAATCGAAACGCTAAACATTCAAAAATAAACGTTAAGTAAATGTATATATTTTTGTTGATAAGAAAGATATAATTAAAATAGGAAATGTAAATTTTGAAAAATCATTTCTTTCAAAAATTAATTGTTTACAAAATTAAAGTAAAAGGCTTCTTAAACAATTAATGTACAAAAAGTTAAAAACTTTCAAGTTAAAGAAATAAATATGTCATATAATCAAATATTTCAAAAAATATGATCATGAAAAAATAAAGATAATAGATATGCTATACTTATAAGTGTAGCTAGGATTAAATATGTATACACTTTTAAAATAAATCCTGAACAATAAAAATATTAGGTGTTGGAATTAATTCGTAGCGTTTTACAAGTGATGGGAAGTACTTTCATTAATGTATTTTTTAATGCTCATGTGAAATAAATAACATTCTTTCATTAAAAACGCTACGAATTAATTCCAACACCTAATAAATATTCTTGTTTAATAAATTAAAATAAAATAAACTTTTGAAGTTTTACTGAGCGCATCATATCTTTATTAATTAATTATCAGTTTTTTTTATATAATGAAAATCTGGATTATTTAAATTCTATAAATTATTGCTCTCTAAAATTTTTCAAATTTTTTAGATATTTTATTTATTTGCATGATGATCCACAGGAAGTTCTGTCGAAGACAGATCACGGAAAGTCTTATAAGGATGAAAAAACCAATCATAATAATTTACACAAAATCAATTTAAGAAACAATCAGCTGAAAGGAAATATAATTTTGGGAAATTACGGCGTAAGTTTATATAACATCACGAAAGTTATATTTTGTTTCAATTCTATATATTTGTTTTTTTCTAATTCATTAATTTACAAATAAAAAGTCTTTGAAAAAAAGATAAAAGAATAGTTAACATCAAAAGTAACTTAATTTTTATTATCTTTTTTTTTTTGTAAACAAAGAATCTAACGCATCTGGACGTGAGCGAAAATAGTATTGAAAAATTGGACATTAGTGCTCTGCAAGAATTGAGAAGTGTACGCTGTGGACGAAATAATTTAACGGAATTAACTCTTTGCGGCCGAAATCTGGTATCCCTTATTGCTGGTAATAATAGTGAGTATAGATTTTTTTAATATGCATTGTACTGTTTATTACGTAATTAACATATTGAGGTGGAATTAAAAAACAAAAAATAAAGGAATAAAATTAGAATAAAAATAATCATTTGTACAGGATTGAAAAAACTAATCATCGAACCTGTGCCAATTAATCTGGAGCATTTGGATGTTTCCTAGTGAGTAAATGCAATATAAATTAATGTACATATTAATATCAAATCTAAAAATTTTATTATACAAAGTACTATTAAATCACAATCTTAAAAATTATTGATCGATCTACAAAACTTGTTTAAATCTATTTTGTATATTTCAATTTTTTTACTATTTATATTTTTTATTCAAACACTTTGGCTTAAAGACAAGAATATTTAAAAATAATTTATGATAAATATGCTATTTTCTAGCAATTAAATATTTTTTTTAGCAAGTTCTTTAATGTATTAGGTGTTGGAATTAATTCGTAGCGTTTTACAAGTGATGGGAAGTACTTTCATTAATGTATTTTTTAATGCTCATGTGAAATAAATAACATTCTTTCATTAAAAAACGCTACGAATTAATTCCAACACCTAATATTATTTAATAATATATTAGTAAATTTTAAAATGTATTTTTTGTTATTTAATTTATATTTCTATTTTATGTGAAAAGCTTGTATTTTTTTGGCTTTGCTCTCAGCAATAATTTAGATGCGTTACCGGAATGGACAACCGAATTGCCAGCATTGCGCGTCCTTTTCGCGTCGCACAATGCTCTCACGGCTCTCCCAGACAGGTTGTTGTCACAACCCTCGAGACTAGAAGTTCTCCATCTGCCTCACAACCGGCTACAAGCCCTACCACCACCCAGGAGACCATTGAATATCGTACATTTAACTCTGCAGGGCAACATGTTGACCACGTTGCCAACCAGTTTTTTCACGAATACCGAAAAGTGAGACACATATAAAATTTAAATTTCATTGATTAACACACAATTGTGATAACAGAAACGAATAATAATAATAGTAGTAATACTGCATTTTAAAAACAATAATTACTTTATCAAATTTGAATACAGCTGCTTTTTTAACACATATTTAACCGTCTGAAATACAATTATAACTTTTTTTTCGTAAATATTTTCCATTAGAGTTTAAACTCGAACTCCTTTCCAGAATGAAAGTTTTAAACCTTTCCAACAATCGACTCTCCGAACTTCCGTATCGCGAAGAGGCCGGGAAAATTCACCAGGGATCGCATACCTTGGAGAAATTATACATCACGGCAAATTGTCTGACCGATACCGCTCTAGACGCTCTCGCGAAGTTTACGTCCTTGAGAATTCTTCATATTGCTTACAACACCTTGGATACGCTTCCAGAAAGGTGAGCCTATCCTTATTCTTTGTTAAAAATATGGAGAAGAACAATGATAAGTTTATATCAGTTATCAGATAATAATTTACGAACGCAAAATGTGAATATAGATAATAAAAAAAACATATCAGTAAGTTATAAAAATCAGTCGATCGAAAAGTACGATTCGAGTGTTGATATAGATAAAGATATTTTAAATAATTTTATGATATTTGTTATTAAAATTGATGTACAATCCTACAGTTGCATAGCTGCTTGGAGCGACCTGGAAGAATTGGTGTTGTCTGGAAACCGATTGCAGTACCTTCCGGATAACGTGGCAAATCTGCGACATTTGCGCGTGCTACGCGTGCATTCTAATCGGCTATTAACATGTCCCACCTTCAGTAGAACAGCGTCTTTGAAGGTGAGGTTCTAGATATGAATATCAATATCGAGCAATTTGCATAAATGAAACACAGCTCGTAATCCGAAATATTGTCCTTTTACTTAGACGGAATAAATATATGAAAATTATTTATTAATTATTTCTTATTTCATTATTTATTAAATATACATAGATTAATATATAATGTATATAAATAAGTATGTGTAATAAGTATATTTAAATAAATAAGCGCATAAAGGTAGAAAATTTAGCAAAAATATGTAAAAACACGAATTGGAATTTTAAAATTATCTTTTTCATTTTCCTCTCTTTTTTTGTGACATTGTTTTATTATATAAATAAACTATGAAAAATTATTTATCTATAAATAATTCAATTTATTATGAACATTTTTGTTTTGGTATATTTTTGTAGAAATAGAATAATTTTGACATAGTTCTGTTGTAACATATAAATGTTGATGATACATTTCATGAAATGTATCATCAATGTTTGGAGTGTGCTCATTTTCATAAAGAGCACATATGACAACGTAGAAATATATCTATAGAAGGACATAAAAGTATTAATAATACATGTAGATCTAGATATACCTAGATAATAAAAGCACAATAAAATAAAATATTTATTTCCAGGTGCTAGATCTGGCACACAATCAATTGGATAGGGTAAATCTGGCTACACTAGTACCACCACAACTACAATTTCTTGATATATCCTGTAATTCCCGACTGCATGTGGACCCAAGACAGTTTCAAGATTATAGATCCCAAAGGCCAATATCTTTGGTAGACGTATCTGGACAGAATAGACCCAGTTTACCATCTCATCCGCATCAACAAGAAATCGTCGCGGCGGAAAAAAATAGCGAACAACCATGGCGATTGGGTTTTTCGGAAACTGCCGGTTCACGCGAAAAGTAAAATTATTATTTATATTCTATTTATTTATTTATTTCATTTATTATATTTCAATTCATTTATTCTTCCAAGGTTGATAAATTAAAAAGAAGAGAAAAACAAAAAACATTACTTTCTTATTGCAAGAAATTTATTTTTACGAAAAAATATCTACAATATTATCTGCATTCCGATGAACTTAGAAACTTCTTGTTTGTACACAGGCTATACATTTCCCAAGTGCGAATACCATCTTTTTGCAACGTCGAAGGTCTGTTTGGCATATTTGATGGTGGTTCCAATCAAGAAGCACCTAGCGCTCTTCAAGAAATGATTCCTCGTCTCTTGCTGGAGGAACGAACGATCCGGGAAACGTCGAAGGAATACTTGAAATATACTCTATTGTCGGCACACAGGGAGCTCAAGGAGAAGGGTCAAAAATACGGCGTAGACGCAACTCTGATCCATATAGTGAAATTGCCGTTGCAACAGGGATATTCAAAATCTACGATCAAATATTCTCTTAAAGTGGCTTCCACCGGGGACGCCAAAGCTGTCCTCTGTAGAGCCGCGGGTCCTTTGACCTTCGCCAAGTCTAAAAAAGCACAGACAATTAAGAATCAACTTGGTAATGCTGCCATGTTCCCATTAGTAGTGCCCGATCCGATATATGAGGAAGTGACGCTGGAAGATGACGATGAATTTATCATAGTTGCTAATCGGAGATTATGGGAGGTTCTAAACATTCAAGAAGCCGTGAGGGAAGCTAGAGCCGAGGCCAGTCCTGTCCTGGCCGCCAAAAGACTTCAGGATCTGGCGCAAGCTTACGGCGCAGAGGATAATTTGAGCATCATTGTTGTCCGGTTGGCGGGACCAAGTCCAGGCGACATGGATCAACTCATGCGTGAACTCAGGCATGCCGTTGGTAAAAACAGAAGTCAAAGCGATAGTGTGTGTCCTTGTCCTTGTTGCATGCCGCCAGCGACGCACAAGCCACCAGCTGCCTGCTGTTGTCACGCGAACGAAGGCTATTATCTTAATGGCGTGTTAAAAAATATTGTAGGCAGGTAAGGAAAACAGAATATTACTGTTATTAAATTTAATAGAAAGTAAACTAATCAATATCGTGAATTTGTACATCAAAACATGAGAAAATAATATTAATGTCTTCAAACTATACCTATATCTGATAATCTAATTATATAAAAATTGATGATATTTTAAGTAATTATATTTTTTTAATTTAAAGAAACACACACATATATATATATATATATATATATATATTTTTTTTATTATGCAAAAATCTATTAAAAAGTATCGATTAATATTCTAATAATATTGAAAATTAAAATCCTAATTTTAAAATTATTAGAATTATCTCTTTTGTCGAAAATGTTTGTTCTTATTATTTTTATAAAAATTTATCCTACTATTTTTCTAACAAATAAGAACCAAGAATTTTATTTTTCATAAAAAATTTCAATATGTTATTATAAAATTTGGTATTTGCAGATCCAATAAAGTCCACGGTGGTTCCGGAAGGTACTTCAAGAATTCCAGATCAACGCAAGACAACGAAAGTCCTCCGTACAGAGACGACCGCAGTTCGCCAAGTGGACAATCTGATCAAGCCAGTGACAGCACTTTCAAGTCTCGTCATCCATCAGGAAGGATGTGGTCTGGAAGTGCGGCTGCTAGGGCGACAAATAAAGCTCACCAGAGTGTTCTCATGCAGGAAAACGGCATGCGAAAAGTAAAGTCGAGTCTCTTTGTTGATATTCTTTCGTGAAAAATATTTTCACAAACGCACGCTGGCAAAAATATGCTAAAAGTTATATAATATTTTTACTGAGGTAGTAAATACGGTAATAAAATATTGATGACAGTGTAATATCCAGTTGTCAAAAACAAGCTGACAAATCACCGGCTGTCACTTTAAAAAGCACATACTATAGCTAGAAACCGCACGGCTTATATCTGCACAACTAATCGAACCGCGAGCATCTCTTCACCACATATCACGTGCCAACCGCGTGAATCACTATTACTGCTGCTATTACAACTCTTTTAAATAAGCTGTTAAAGAAAAGAAACACATTTATTTCAAAAACACAACATTACCAAAGGAAGAAGGAAGCTCCATCCCGCACGCCCCCCCCTCCTCTCCGTGAGCTCCGCTCGCGATCCTCGATCGCCGACCCGCCAAATTAGAGTAAGACGTGATAGACAGTTCAATTCTTTGCGCTCGATGTGTTTATAAAACGTACATACGCAAAAGTGATTGTAAATAAGGAATATAGACTGTGTTTGATAGCTGCCAATACTGAAAATCTACAGAATAACAAAAAAGTCTACAAAATTTTATGTTTATTAAATTATTAGTAATATATTTTTAGAAAAATATAAATTCTGTAGTGTTAGTAATTATATCTTATAAAATAATAATTGACATTAACAATGGCCACCTTTAGTTATGACAGAGTTGGCTTTTTAAATTATTAATTACTAAAATATTAGGTGTTGGAATTAATTCGTAGCGTTTTTAATGAAAGAATGTTATTTATTTCACATGAGCATTAAAAAATACATTAATGAAAGTACTTCCCATCACTTGTAAAACGCTACGAATTAATTCCAACACCTAATATATACGTATCAAACTAACGCAGTGCCAAGCTTATTTACCATATTTTGACGTAAAAATGACATCTTTCATATTATTTCGACTCTAAAATGACGATAAATAACGTAGCTTGTTATTTGGCTAATTTTAAACACAATATTATAGCCACTTTTTCGTTACTCCGTAGTTTACGTTATGTAAACTATAAATTTTTAGTATTGGCAATGTATATCACATCATAAAGATAAAAATATAAAAAATATGGAGTCTTTATTTGAATTTTTGTTATTTTCCAGGTATCATCTTGCCTTCCTACGCAAGAGGATGCTATCTCGGAAAGATCCAGTGCTCTCAGTGAGGAGCAATTTCGTTGCTGGGAGTATATGCTTGAGCAGAACACTCAGTTACTATTCGATAAGGAGTTAGACACGTTAACGAAGGCGCCATTACATCGCGGCCAGTCAAGGTCGACGCCGCAACTGGGAAGCAATCTACCCTTTCTGTCGAAGAGGTTTGGCAGCGCTCGATCCTTCAACCCTTCGTTATCACGACCACCGATGGTCCGTTTCGGCAGTGGACGAAGATTGCTGAATGGCGGACCGAATGCTGCCTATTTCGGCAGCCTGCAAAGGTTGATGCCGTACAATCTCGAGTACGACTTTGCCGTTATCCAAGAAAGAAACGGCATGGATTCATTGGAGCAAGACGCCACGAGGATGCAACAATATTGGGGAGTTGCCACTACAGAATTGTAAATAAAAATCTAATGCAAAGATACCTACTAAGTATAAGATAGAAATGCAAAAAAGCAAAAAGTCTATAATACATTTAACAATGAACGAGCTTAATCGAAATTAGAAAAACGTTACGTTAATACGATAACGTTTGTGTAAGTCTTATCCTGAAAAGTTGCCTTTATGTTTTAAGAATTCATATTTTGCAAAAAGTACATGCAGCATTTCATTATCATTGTCATTGTTTTAGATTGTGGAATATAACGCAGAAACTCATTGTGCTAAGTTGTTTATATCGCAATAAATTAATTTGCACTTACTTATGAACAATCCAACGTAACCAAAGTGATTTATCTTGAAAAGCTTGACGGCACAAAGTAATTGTACCTTTGTACTCTAATTATCATTTGCTAATGAAGTAATTAACCGAATACAATGTGACGGAGCGAAGAGTTAATCGGCAACAAACGCGCACAATTGCAGTAATAATATCGATCGTGTTGATAACAATGGCATAGCTGAGACAAGCTATGGAGTTCTTCGAACCTCGTAGAAGAAAAGACGACGGGATTTGTACCGTCACTTCGGTAATTCGCTCGTTTATTGCAGCTGATACGCGTGCAATAAAGGGACCGCGGAAACCACTGTGTAGCCTTTACGCTACACAAAGCTCGCCTTATTTCTTTATAACGGTAGACACGCGGAAGATCTATATCTACTTTATTGCGGAACGACTTTACGGCGCTGAATCACTGAATCACTCCGCAGAAAATGGACTCCGCCAAATAATAGAGATCGAAGAAAATCCGTCTTTCTGGTCTTAGAAATTGGAGACTGATTTAAATATTAAAAAATTCGTTTTTTCTTACCGAGATTTATCGTATATTCTTTTATTGAATTGTCCATATACTTTTTTTCCCAAATATTAACACATTATAACGATTTGAAATTCTCCGAAACGAGCTCTCTTCACTTTGATTTAATTAAGGAATACAAAATGCTATCAAATTTAACATTAATTGCGAAAATTAATTATAATCCAAATTAGCATTTCTATTCTTTTAATGTGTCAATTTTTTCTTTGTATAGATTTTATGTTATCTTGCAAATCTCAGTTGTTTCCCAATCAACACATAATATTTAAAAAATATTTTTTAAATATTTATTAAATATTTTTACATTAAATAAATATTTAAAAAATTTTTTTTTAATTTTTTAAAAACATTGTCTGCTTGAGTTATTGCTCTGTATTTTTATGTTTAGCGTGTTTAGATATCGTTGTGCTTCGTATTTTTTTCCTTATAAAGTTTAGATTGTTTAAAAATAGTTTTTGTATATAATTATTACATAATAAGTACAATTTATTATATCTTTAATATTATAACACACTTCTGCGATAAACTTTTGACAATGTCAAGAAACATGTAATACTACTGACGTAATCGATGCGATCTCGTGTTTTCTATTAAATATAATGTATTGACATTAGGCTTATAATGTACAAGGTGTCTCTAATGAATTACATCATTATAATTCTGTGCGAAATATTAATCGTGTTACATTAATCAAAATATTGAATTGTTATTTTATAAAAATAAGAGTTACTACAGTCTCATGTATATTTAAATCAACACTCTTACAATTCCTTATTTCAATCTTTATTACAATTCTTTAGATCTGCTCCAAACCTGTCATTTTACTGTAATATTTATTGACTTAAATTTTCTCGATGATCAGTAAGACACACTGAAGTTTGTAGAAACTTCTGTTTGAACAAAATAATGGAGTTGAGCAGAGACACTATATATTTATAAGAAAGATTAAGTCGTGTATTACATGTGCGATCGAAGAACATGCTTCCGAAATGAATTCATATGTCTTCAGTCCTATATTTGCGTCATTTAAACATATTTTATTCTTCCCCTTCGGAATTATGCTCTTCGATGAGAAAAAAGAATCATATGAAGAAAATATTTTTTATAAATGTGAAGAGATACTTTTTTATTTTTTGATGTAATATAAAATATGCCGGAAGAAAGTATGTTCCAATAACAGACTTATATTTGTCTGAAATGTGAAAATTCTTCAATCGTAAAGTAGGTTGAGTGCATTTGGGAAGAAAGTTTAAAAGACAACAGTTTAAAAGAAAAGTTATTCTACTAGAGTCATCGTATTATGATGTAAAAACAGAAATTTTCAAAAAATTTCAAAATATTTAATATTCGCGATGCAAACTCCATTCTAAAAAAAATACATGTAGTGAATCATTTCGAATATATGAAAAAAATGTTGTCGGTACACACTTTCTCCGGGACGCCGTGTAGCAAAACTGTACCTGAGGCTGGACCAAATAAATCATGGTATGCAGCGACCTATTGTTGTCAGAACAAATAAACTATACATTACAAATGGTGGTGCAAAATTTAACGAAAACATTCGGCATTTTTGTACATTTGTAATTTTTCGTCAGAAATTTCAAATATGTATAAAATTTCTTGAATATTTAAAATTTTGTGTGTGATACATACATATTTTGAAGACGGAATATCGATCTCGTAACTTATTTATCTGCTTATTAAGTCTCTTGCGTAATTTATCTTCTCAATCGCAAACAAAAGTAATCAAAAGCATCGTACACAATTTTTTTCTTTTTTGTTTTTTTGTTTTTTACTTTTTTTTTCCTTTTTTTTGTTTCAAGTTTCAAAGGATAAATCTCGAGAAAAATTGCACAAAAGATTAAAATAAATTATTATACGTTACAAGGAGAAAATTTTGCAACAAAATTGCATGAATCCGTCACTAATTCTAAAACACGCCATCATTCGTTACATTCTAATTTGACTTCCTGTCCAACACGATATCAAATAATCGCTTCCTTCCGTGAGTTTATTACAACAGATGAACTCAACAGACAGCAATTCGAGATATGTAGCATTCGGTTGCGTTCTATCCATCGATTAAATTCTTCACGTTGACCTTGAGTGGCATTATCTTATTTGTAACATGCTATTACACTGATGTCATTTTGAATTTTTCTGTTCAAGTCACGAAAAGAAGCTAGACGGTAGGAGATTTAGAGAGAGAATGAGACTTTTTACTTTTATATAAATTAATGTGAAAATTGTAAACGATAAGAGAGAAAGAGAAAAAGAGAGAGGTGATATTACTTGATGGATATAAAGTTTACTTTTTTCTTATAAAAGTTTCAAACAAAGCTTAATTAGAATAATATTTAAGGTAGAAAATTAAAATGTCAAGAGAGAAATATTACAAAATTTAAAAAAGAACTAGGAGGATGAATATTATACAAGATTTTTCTTTTCGATTAATTTCTAATTAATAGAAATTTTATTTACATGTATATTTAATGATATTCAATGTGAAAAATTAACAGTTAAGATTAATAACTGAGAATTTAAAAAATTGCATTACGTGTATATGTATTTTGATAATATTACAACTTGTAATTTGACCTCGACTTATGTATTTGATTTAAAGCGATTTTTCGTTGTTTTACTTAAATTCATTAAAAATTCGAATATTTTTTAACACCGCGAATATAGAGTAAGAGTAAGTTTCAAATCGCACGTGAGGGAGAGTTATCTTACTGATTCAGCACGTGCTTTTCCTTCGACGATTCCACCGAGAGCACGATAAGCAGTTTCTTTATCGAACTTTGGAATCTGTTATTTGCTGCTATCGGCAGTTGTTAAATTATGCTGCCAATTTATTAATGAATTAACAGTAATCAAGAGTTGTCGAATATCTTGATTACAGAGCGACACATTTATCGGATAATAATATCGGACGATAATACTTTCTCGAATGTATATTTTTAATCACACGATATACTTAATATAATATTCATTTTTATTGTCACGATGATATTCTGTTGCTTACTTTTTGTTAAAAAAATAATAAAACTATTAACAACTTTAATACGACATAAACGCTAAAATATAAAATATATACCTGTTCTATTTTTAGTCTGTTAATAATAATAATAATAATAATAATAATAATAAGCTAATTTTTCTATTAGTTTATTAAAACGATATTCTTCTTGCGCTTCCATCTGATATTATCAATGACACTTTAAATATTTATTTTTAACTCTTTATTATACTTTCCTTCCTTTATCTATCTTTTTCTCTCCCTACTTTCTCTCCCCTCTACTTTATTTTCTCCTTCTTATGTTCCTCTTCTTTTTTAATTTTCCATTTCAACCTTCCTGTCTTTACATGTCATATTTCACTTTATCTCTTAGCTTCTTAGAGAGATGATCAATTTTGATTCCTATCGCATTGTCTAATTGATAATATACCAGTTTGACACACATACTAAGATATTTATTCTTATTTTATTGTACTAAATTCATTATACATATACAACGAATGACGGTTTCTTACTCTTTCTCTATCGACATTAATAATTCTTTTGTACATGTCTTATAATATCAAAAATAACTTTCGCCTCTTTCTATTAATTTAATTTTATTAATTGCGATCTTGTTTGTACCTTTTCTTTATTATTTGCGACTTGATTGTACTTTTCTTATTATTTTTATTTGTTAATTTATTATTACAATTTGTACTTGCTAACAGAAACATGTTCGTCCTTTTGCACACGCACAGTTCGGAGAAACACATTGGTGTCAACTACAATCGTTTATTTGGTTTTCTCTCAATTTGGAGCGAGTTTTATAGTTGATATTGCGTCCTTATGCGAATTTTATTTAATTTATATATATTTTATCTATGTTGCATCCATTTTTATTTTGTCTTCACATTGAAAATGATCCAACAGGGATCGAAACGTTTGTTCTTGTTCACTTACTGATTTTTAAATTATATTTCATGTTTTTTTTAATTTCATGACATTGTTAATTTTATTTTTTAACCGTTTAATTTAGATTATTATTTGTTGTTTGACTTTTAGGGTCGTAGCCCTTTATTCTTTCATTTATTTATTAAAACGATTTTTTGGCGAGATAAAGTTTGGTCGTTGATTTATTCATGCAAAGAAAAAAAAACAAGTATGTGAAGTGTGTTAATCTCTGATACCATCATCAATAAAGTAGAGATGAACATTAAAATGTCTAATTAACGATTAGAATAATCAGAAATGATTAAGCTCAAGGAAAGTGACTCATATCATGTCTCACTCTACATTTTTTTCCATAATCTTTTTCTACATCTTTTTCACTTTATAATCTTATCTTTATAAGATATTCGACACAATTTCGTAATTTCCTAAAATTCAATAGCCCATAGATATATGTAAATAATAGATATATGTAAACAGGGCACTAAGAGCGAACTTGCTATCGACATTTATCGCTCAAATAAAATGCGTAAAGAGAAGATAAATATGACTTATTGCATTTGAATTTTTTCTCTTGATAAGTGCTGAGCAAACTGGAAAACAAGCGTGTCGTAAATAAGCATATCGGAGTGTACAGCTGCAAAAAGACAATAGAACTTATTGGAATTATTGCTCCGATCTCATCGACTCCCAGAGCCGAAACCTGAGAAAATTGCATCGTTATATAAGTATTTTAATGACGATACGCGATACAATCGAAGTGTATAACCCGGTACTAAGATATTACTCAGGTAACAAGTCTTTTTTCCGACTGAAGACATCAATATATCAATGTTTGGGATTTCAAAAGGGATATTCTGATGTTTTCATAATACCTGAACTTCTTTGACGATATTTGGTGCTAATGCCGAGAAATTCCTCTAAACATTCCCGTAAGCAGCCCTTAGTTATTTCTGTGGATGCATAGACTATAAATAGTGTACTCGATTTGCTTCCCAACTTTAAGTCGATAGAAAGAAGAGCTAAGTGCAAGAAATAGAAAAAAAATTCATTGACTCGGATTCAGATCGAGTCAGCAAATTGAGTACGCTATTAAGCTAATATTACATTTGTCCATTTTTATCGTACAACCAATTTTTCAAATGCGTTAATTGGTTGTAAGATAGAAAGTATGTCTCTATCCTACAGCCAATCAATTAGCTTTTTATCGACAAAAATTTGTCGTATAGCGAACAAATGTATATAATATTAATCTTATAGTGCAATGAAAAAAAAGTTTTTTAATATTTGTGATTATAATTGCATAGCAAAAAGTATTATGATTAGAAGAACTCTATTTTTTTTTTACAATTATTATTAATGTAATGTTAGTAATAAGAATTAATAATAATTATTATTATATTTATAGTTCTATATATCAAGAAAAATACATATGTTTTCAAAAACGATTATAAAATAATGTTGTCATTTTCGAAGAAAAATATAATATTCTTTTTGATATATATAGAGCTTTTATAAATATAATTATAATTATAAAATTTAAGTTTCTAACTATAATTTTCTATAGTCATAAAAGATTACAAAATTATAAATAAATTATAATTTATAGTTGCTTTGAGGACAATCATATATTTATTTTGATATATAAAACTTTTTAAAATTATATAGTTATTGCATAATGCTAGTAATAATAATAAATGTAATTATTATTATTACTAACATTATGGAATATAATAATTATAAAATTGAAGCTCCTAACCATAATTATTTTATATGCAATAATCACAAATATTACAAACTATTTTCTCAGGCAGTGCACAACTGTATCAACGTCATGATGGGTAACCGAAGAGGAGAATAGAGGGGAAACGGAATGCTAAGCGTTCGAGTGAAGCGATTGAGGAGCGAAAACTAGTAGTACTCGAGCATTCGCGCGCATCAGAACGTACGTTCGAAAGAACCGATTATCTGTTTTATCCTCCTTCTTTTTTTTTTTTTACATTTGCGATTCGCGATATTTTGACCGAGAGGCAAACTCGTCTGAATCGTTCCCGAAAAAACAGAAACTCGGGCATCGGTGCGACGGATCGAAGAGATCGGCGATGATCGATTGCAGTGTCGCAGCCCGATGCGCAATGCAGCCTGACGGAAGATAGCACGTGCGCGGAACGTTTTCTATAGGTGAGTATATAGAATGGCTATAAAGAGAAATCGAACGGAGAAGCTATCGAAAGAAGAATAATTAGCGAACATTGAAGGGACAATTGAAAGAATACGATATATATTCTCGGAGTATCAATATTCGAAAGATCGAGCGACAATCTTCACTGAGAGAAAAATGTATTACCTACTAAATTTTAATAAATATTTAAATATATATAGTATTAGCCGAATTTTACTAAACATGTAAACATACATTTATTTGGTGCAAGAATCATTAATTTAATTTAAATATCATTTTTTTTTATTTAATAAATGTTTATTTATCGTAAGTAAACATTATAAGGTAGTATTATTCAAATAAATATTTGTTAAAATTCAGTTTTCTTCTCAGTATTGGCATCTCTGTCTCTTCTTTTTCCGTATATTTTTACAAACATTATATTGAGAAAGAGGCACATGAAATTGCACAAAAAAAAATAGAGTTTATTGCGCTTGTCACGCTTCGATGCTTCAGTTATATTTCGAACAGGCAATTTTTGACGCGCTATAAATACGAGAGCGGACGAATTTCTCGCAAATCTCTGGACTTTGAACTGTCATGAGAAAATAGCCTGTTGGCCTGCAGCTGATCGTTATATAAACAACTTTCTCAACTGTGTCATCTGACTACCACGATAACATCATGTCCAAAATCATCCCTTGACATCATCCTAATTATGAGATAATCCGCGTTCATTGTCAAATTCTTCGTTTAATGTGAGTATGATAGAAACATATTCGAGATTTATAATTGCACCCTGAAAAAAAAATCACCAATTTTGAACTTGCTCTAATATGAAACAAATATGAAAATAAATATTTAATTCTTTTATCTAATAATTATGTTTTAATTAAATATTTACCTAGATATATGTAGTATTTTATAGATAGGTGTCTATTTATATTAAAACAATAATTGAATTAATTTATGTAGCTAATTTATTTAATTTGATTAAAGCATAATATTAATATAAATTTATCTTAATTTTTATTAGAGAGAAAAAATTCTTACGTAATTATATAAACACGTAATTATATATCACGTTTAAAAATAAAATTTAAATTAAAAAGTAATTCTTTATCGACAAATAAATTTAATCTCTATAATATAATTAATAATTTTGATAATTTTGAGAAGATAGGGAAATTATCGAATGATCAAAAAAATTTATAAATGAAAAATAAGATTTGATTATCTTAACATTTCTTCTTTTTATCTAATTCTATCATTTTATAAAAATAAAATTTGTTTTTTGCACGCTACGAAAGAATTTGGAGGAAGCCTTTGAAAAGCTAGAGAAGGAAAGTTTCGAACATAAATTTTGTTGATATATCTCTATGTGTTAAAATTTTTTGTTGAAAAAGAAAAGGGAAAAAAAATTCTTTGAAGCATTCTACAAAAATATTGAATGTAAGAAATTTCAATTGTGCTTAGATAATACGCTTCAGGTTTTTTTCGTGACCTTGCCTAAAAGTCTTATTAATTATACAACCTTTCAATCATCAATTTTCATGATCTGTCTTGTCATGGATGATCTTTCGAGCTATTCATTGTGTCTCTCGGACAAAAAAAGTAGCGAACACATTACGATAATAGTTTAAAGATAAATATTTCGAATATTTTATATTTTACTGAGTTTCTCCTTTCTTTTTCTTTTCTCTTTCAATAAAAAAAATTCGATGCAAAAAATTTCATAAAACCTAGAGTGAAAAATTGTATGCAGGTCTTTAACAATATTTTCGAATAAAACAAAAAGAATTGATTTATTGCGCTAACATTAAAATTAAAACCAACATTGATAAGAATGATCACGAGAATCAAAGATCCTCTGTTAAATAATCGAGACTCTAATTAAAGAAGCTTACCTGCTATCTATCATTTGAAATCAGCAAACTCTTCTTATTTTGAATCGCTTGTATAACATAAAACATTTTATACAACATTGTAGAATTTGTCGGAGATTCTGATATATTTAACAATGTAAAAAGTGCCAAGTAAAATATTGGCAATTTCTCGCAGTTTATATTTTGTTCGCTTACTGTTTATATATAAATATATTGTGTTAATATTTGTCTTTACTGTGTTATTTACATTTGTGTTGTTATAAAATAATATTTTGTACGTGCAGCAACATGATAACAGTAAATAAGTGATTAACTCGTCTTGCTTAATTATGTCGTTATGACTAGCATTGACAAGCAAGATGTTAATATCTTGAAAACATGTAATTAAATGTGTTTGTTCGTTGCGTCGGCTGACGGGCTTGAAGTTTACCGATATCTGACGTGCTTGTGCTGTATAACTCGTTAGTAGCATTCGCGAAAAATACAATCTCGTCATGTCGTGCCCGCAATTAATCCGACACTTGACGTAAAATCGATCGATGCACGTAACGGTATGACGATAAATATTATTTAGACGTTAGGATTTAATGCGTAAATGGTGATAAATTATTCTTGAAAGCGATCGTAATGCGCTTAATCAATCGCGATGACTAGGACATACCGCTACATTCTGTAAAAAACAATAATGAAAATTTACAGACGTCATCAATGAATCGTCGATTATTTAAGTAAGTTGATATCAGCAAACGCAAAAATTAATGAAGGTCTCGAACAATATAATGCTTAGTCGTGACATCAAAAACACTTTAAATATTAATATTAAATCGGTACTCGTAAAGCATAATGAATATTCTATAAGTATATCAATTAAAAGTCAGTTTACAATATTTTTACATTTTCAATTTGTTGTTTTTAATGATAACAAAAAAACGTATGTATTAAAATTATAATTCCAGTTAAAATTTTTGTGTTGTATTTTATGATTGAATTTTTAACATAATATAATGTAATGGTATCATTATTAAATATTTTGTACTTTTCTTATTTTATAAATATTTTATGTGTTAAATTGATATTCATTATTTCTTAGAATTAAAATAACATAATTTGTAAATAAATGAATCAATAATATTAAAATAATGTATTGTAGTTTTAAAATATAAATTCTAAGGTAAATAAATAAAATGATTATAACATATTATAAATATTAATTTTACCAAAGAGATATGTTTCTACAATTTTCAAATTATGTTAAAGTACATATTTTGTGTTAACTTTTGCACAATATTTGTATTACTTTCTAATTTATCTTATATTAAGTTAATATAAAATTTTTAGTAGTTTGAGATACGAAAAATATATTAAATTTATCAACATAAAATTTTTCAGCTGTGATATAATCCAAAAAATTTCACAAAGATAAAAATGGAATATCTCAGATATTGTTATATGTATAAGAAAAAAGCTTTTTTTTATCTTTTCCTGATATTTTGACTATCTGTTTATGGAATATTATGAAAGAAAGAAATGTTTCTAGATGTTTGTTGCGTTTCCATTTGTGAAAATCTCAACTTTCTAAGTGATTTATATTATCGAAGAATTTCAAGATAAGACAAGAGGAGAGGATTTTCTTAGATTTTCTACATAATATCCAAGAAACGTTTCGCAAAAATGTCACATGACCTTAATGATCCTTCTTGACGTCACTTTTAGCCCCCTCGCTCGTAATTCGATACGCTCTTATCATGCAGGCACACACGCTACGCTATAAACGCGGCCGCAATTCGTATCTCGTTCCGATTTAATCTGCGGTATTTTAGTGCTCTTTCTATTTAGATCGGTAGAGCAAACCGAGCAAATCGCTCGCGTTGCGCAAATTAACTCACGACGTCACACGCGTAGACGTTACGAACGCATCATGCATGATAAATGAAATCGTGGTATTCAGCACGCTCCTATTTTATTTATCTACATTGCAATAAATACAGATTGATAGCGACTATTGTTGTCATCTCTATATGTGCAAGAATCACACAATTTTTTTATTTTAGAAAGAAAGGAATATATATATATATATATATAGTATATATATAGCGTATATATATAGCGAACTTTTAAGCTTAAACTATTTATTACGCACTTATTTATTTATTTTTAGGAAATCATAAAAGAGTGTTATTATACATAATATTAGCTCGTCCCGAATCCTTTTGTTTCATAAAAGTAATTCCTTATATAAATTTTTTACTTTATACATTAATTTATAAGAACACCTATCAGAAAACTTTTATTTTTTCTTTACATTCTGGGTTCAGAGAGATTGTATATATTGCATATCGGAAAATATTAAAAATATGCGGATCGATCATGCGCTAGATATGAGGCATTAATACAAATTGTAATGCGAAAACGTGTTATACTTTTTTCAAAAATAATATTTTTTTAACATTTTTATAACGTGAGTGTAGTTTTATGTACGAAATAAGTTTGTATAACATTATACTATTTTATATCGCTAATTGCATGCTGATAACGTTTTCCTGTTTGAATACGTAGCAATATTCCATACCACTTAATATGTACAATTTTTGTAACAAAAACTTTTCTGTTGAATGTTAACACTAACTTTTTCCTATCAAACAAAATCAAATAATTTTAAAAAAACTTTTCCTATACAGCATCACATACTGTATCTTCAAGGAATGTTCTATAAACGTCCAAAAAATATCATATGTTCTAAAATGTTCTCAGAATGTCTCTCGAATGAAATATTCTATGTGTATTCGTTTCTATAACGCAGAAATCTCATTCTAAAAGATCGGCAACTATTAAATAATTAATAAAAGAAATTTGAATGATTTGTAAGAATATATATGTTTTTTTTTTTAAAAACGTCACTAATTTTCTTAATTTTAGTTAAATTCTTGATTTCAAGATCAAATGTTTTTGAGTAAAAGTACCTTATTCAAGAAAAAAATTTTCGTGTAAGTTCAAAATACAGTATTTTATTCAAAATGCAATTATATTCGATAAAGCAAAGTTTTAGCTTTAAAAAACTTTTTTAAATTAAGATACGATGATTTTTTTAAACGAAGTTATAAGCAATCAAAGTCAAAATGTTCTTTTTATTTTCT